TTCTGGAGGGAAATTCTGGGTTGCCCAGCACCCTGTTTGTGCTACACGCTCGAGTGTGTGTGAGAGAGCGTGGAATGGCTGAGCCCACAGTCTGCCGGGCGGCAGGCGGCCCTCCCTGTCCGTGCCCTCCCTGGTCTCTGCCACATCCCCGTTCTCGGTAAGTCACTTCTAAAGAACGCGAAGCACAACACCTGGGCCCGGGGTGGGTGAGGAGCGGCCTCCTGCCGGCACAGTGCGGGAGCCGAGGCCTGGAGGGGGCGGTCCTGACCGAGGAAGGCAGTGGCAGGCGCCATGGCGTCCAGTCCTGTCGGCCGTCCTTGGAATGCTCTTCCCGGCGAGGAAGCCCACCTGTACCGGAGCAATCTTGCTAATCAGGGTTTACTCCACGTGCCCTTTGACAAAGCCCCCCCCCCACGCGTGCAATCTGAGTGAGCCCAGGACAGTGTCAGGCCCCGCCGATGGCAGTGGCTGGCTGTGGCCAGGACCCACAGGGCTTTCCTGAGGGGGACCGGCCCGCAGTGCAGGCTCGGGAGGCTCCCAGCACCCTGGGGACCGCGGCTGTGGAGGGAGGGTCTGCTCCAGCCTCCTGGAGCTGGCCCTCAACTCAGGCGGCGCTAGGTGGGAGCCCGTGGTTTGCAGAGCCGAGGTTTGCTCCGAGTCTTTGAGAACCAGCTCTGCGGACTGTCTCTAAAGAGGTAAACTTGTTTAGGGGAAGACGAGGTCGCCGAGGGGCTCCCCAGTTGCGCTGACGATGAGAACAGAGGCAGCGTGGACGGGAGGAGGCGGCCGCTTGGACGGGGTTAGGGTTAGTCCATGGGAGGGCCGGCATTCAGCCCCTCCTCCCTGGGGAGACGCAGGGCAGGAGAGGGCACGACAGGAGGAGGTGGGCTTGAGATGGGCTGCAGAAGGGACGGGTCCTATGGTCCCTCCCTGCCGCGGAAGGGGGCAGCAGAGCCAGGCTGGGGGGCTGAAGGCTCTCGCAGCGGGTAGGAAGCAGGCTGGCACCCGAGGTCACACCAGACTGGACGGATTGTTCCGTGGTTTGAGCGATTTCCCATCTGGAATCTGTCTCGCTGTCGAGGTGCAGGGCATGGTGAGGCCTCGTGGACAAGGTCTGGGTCCTGGGCCTCACCCTCGCAAGTGGGCTCCACCATGCGGGGCCTGTGTGAAGGCTGTGACAAAGACTGCCCTGGGCTCGGCACACCTGTGGACCCGGCATCACGAGTGGGCTGAGCCTGCCTCAGTGCCCAGGGGAGCGGCCAGCCTCAGGTCTGCGCCCGCAGCACAGCAGAGGGTTCCCGCGTGGGCGAGGCCTGGGCGCGGCAAGGGAGGGCAGGCAGAGGTGCGGCGGCAGAGGGCGACGGGGCCCCGGGTGGCTGAGGAGAGCGGGTCTGTGAGCCAAGGGAGAGGCGAGTCCTGGCAGCGGGGGGAGCCCAGCATCTGCAGGGCTGGGGGTACTCAGAGGGACACGGGCCCCGTGGGCAAGGTGATGCACCAAGCCGCCCTGCTGGGAACCCGGCGGGAAGGCCCGCGTGCTCCTGTGTTTTCCCAGCCGGACGTGCCTGCAGCTCAGTGGCCGAGGGCCCCCGTCTTGTCTGGCTTGGTCAGCCAGGCTGGCTGCTGGGCTCCAGGCCCCACACGCTCCTCCGTCCTCACCGTCCCTCTGACCGCCAGCCTCAGCGCCGGGCGGGCGGGCGTACCAAGGCGCTGCAGGTTTGCTCTTGGCCTTCGCTCCGGAGCAGCCCACGCAGC